CGCCATGACCGAGCCGTGAGATCACCTATATAGAGATACTCCTCCGGTCGCCTACAGCCCACCGGGACTAATTTGTTACTTGTCTTAAGTTCTGCATCTTCTGCGTGGGTATTTATTGTCTGTAAGACACATGCAGTCCTCTTAGAGAAAGTTAATGTACATGATCCGCCCAGTGTTTGTTTATATAAACCCGAAGGAAGAGGAGTGCCCATCAAGATCCTTCCTAATGCCTGACCGCCGTCCGTGGGTATGCGGCAGGGACCCTACATGTGCCCAACCGGGATGTGAGCACGCGGTACCCTGCCGGACTCCAAAGCGGTCACTACAAGACATTGTCAGGGCATCTGCCGGGTACCTGCCGGAGGCCGACCAATGAGGGAGCCCCCGGGACCCCTGCAGGACAGCGTGAAGGCAACTTTTTATTGTGAGCACGACAGCCGGTGCTCGCAGACCCTAGAGCCCGGCCGGGGCTACATCCCCGACGGCATCGGCACAACTGGGATCGAAGCTTATTAAGCAGTGGTCAAAAACTTTGTATGGTTGGGGATGCCCTAACTACCACACAAATGTTGAGAAAATTGTCGACTTCTTCACCTTGCTCTAGTAGAAACTAAAGATTGGTATAATATTCTGATAAACATTGAGCCCGGACCTTTAAAAGATGCGCTTGATGCGTGTGGGATTTTTTTATAGATGTTAAAATGAGTAGCAATTACAAGTCCTGTTATGTGTACTCAAAACAACAATTATTTTGAAAAAAAAGACAAGTAAACAATTTTTTTCAGTGCTACATAATTATAAATGTGTCTACCCAAGAATTGAATTGAAATACCACCTTCATACGCAGGTTAGTCCAAATAAAATGTATATTTTTTTCTAGAGGTTCTAGTTGGAAATAAGGAAAGTTTGCCTCTTATCTCACTTGTAGAGGAGACGCTTACCTCTGAACTTTACCGAGATCTTCCTGACAAGTAAGACAGATATCTTGTTTTGCCGAGAGGTACTGAGGACTGGCGTTGTTTGTGTGCAGCTCTCGATGGTTCTATACTATGTGAAAACAAGTCCCACTCTATTTGCATATCATTGGTTTTTTAGCAGTTGATTGTCTGCTTGAATATGTTAACCCTCGACATCACAGCGTGTATTGCATAAATTGTGTTTGTACCTTTTATTTGATTTCAGTGGTACTGCCTTTGAAAACAGTCTTTCCCTCATTTGTATAGCGTTGTTTATGTAACAGTAACTGTTGATTGTCTGCTCTGTTTACTGATACTCGTAGATAGCTGTGTTGGCTACTTTATGCTGGGATTAACTCTCAACACATAACTTTGTTTAAAAGAAAACAAACTGTTAAAAAAAATGTTAGTGTCTTTTTACCTTAAACAGCAGGATTCGGTGCTAAGGGTGACGTACTAAGGTACATGTAGTACTCCCCACTGTGGACTGGGAATCGATAATATTCCTAAAACTGTTAACAACACATGTACATACAGTTGACTATTGGAGTTGGATGCTGGGTTTCAGTCTAGGAAAAACTTAATTTTAAAATCCAAGTTCGGAGAGTGGAAAATAAGCGTGCTGCGGGACGCGCCACCTAGCGACTACGTACTTGTTTTCAATTTTTTTGAATATCAGATAAAAATGAAGCAGGCAAATCTGCGGATCAACAAAGTAAATTAGTGTGGCCTTATCGTAGTCCAGTCAATGACTTTATCACACCTTCAGTATCTACTGCTCACAGTAGATGTTAATAGAAAAAAAGGTGTATAAATTTATAGAGGGTAACAGAAATGCTACTGATACCATAGACCTAAAGTTGTTCGTTGGTCAGAATTTCATCTACTGTATTTATTTATTTCATCAGAAGACCACCTTTTGTTATGAAATTTATTTCCAAGAGGACCCTGTACATGTACATACACTACAAAGCATGGTACATTCAGTGTGGAGGAAAATAGTCATGCTTCAGGCCTCAAATTTAACTTTTCTTCCTATTGTCCCAGCACTGTCCCAAAAAGAATTCAATTGTCCTGAAGTGAGAATGAACCGTCCCAACCTGTTTTTCGGGAAATATTGTATGAATTCAACTTGAAGTCAACTTTATTTTGGTTATATTCACTCCCATGCGCACTATAATAATTTTTATTATACAATACTTAAAAAAAAACAAGCTGGGACATATCATCAAAACAATGATTTATTGTTTAAATTATAAACTGTTCTGCGTGGTTAGATATCTTTCTTAACAGCCTTCATCACAACTGAGAACCAGAACCTTCCAGGTGAACTTCATGCTTTTCTAAACCTCGTCTGTACAAAAGTCAGAAGGTTTCCTCAGTATAAAGATAATGTGTTATGATGTATTTAATGTATTTACTAGTATTTATCTCGTTTGTTGTAATCTGTATGAATGAATGAATGAATGAATGAATGAATGAATGAATGAATGAATGAATGAATGAATGAATGAATGAATGAATGAATGATACTTTATTTCCGTGTCGTGCGCTATCCCGCGCCCAGCCCGTGTGGGCTTATACGACACCGATTCAATAAATTATACATAAACAAAAGAGAATCAAAGGTACAGAATCCAAACAAAATATGAACACAAATAAAGGTATGCTATATACAATAATGGTGAACAAATAAGTGAACAAATAAGTGAACTCATAACAAATCGTAAATGCAAATAAACAAATCTGTACATAATGAACCAAGATCTCACAAAATAAATACAAGTACATAAGGTAACTCAAACATAATAAGAGAAAACAAACGTGCAGAAGTAACAAAATCCTGGAAGTTGTGTACGCAAACTTTTTGCAATTCAGGGAGTTTTATCCCCTGCTGTAAGGTTTGCTTTTGGTGTCACGAATAAAGAATTTTAACTGGTAATGGCGCACTTCTCTTACATAATGAGTCTGTTAACCCAAGGACACTATAAATGATGTCCTTGCTTAACCTTTTGATTTCGCCCGAAGCTAAGGCAGGCCGGCCTTGACAGGTCTGCTGATTCTTGTAGGTGATCCATCAGTTTGATGCGTTCTTCTCCGCTCAGACCGGGCTTACGTGAATCATTTCATTAACCCTACCTAGACCGGGCTTTTTTTGACATGGGGGGGACCGGGGGGGGGGGNGGGTCGTTTCGTTCCCCCCGTACCCCCCGAACCCGTACCG